GAAAAGTATGATGACCACATCTTATGAAACAATAGCTGTGCTCCGATTCCATGCTACATTTTAATTGTATATACAGTGTGTACAGTATACTGATCCTCATTCTCTTTCTTTCACCAACATCTGCAATTATTATAAAGGTCCAGTGTGTGGCATAGAGGTACCTATTGGAAGAAATTGAATATAATAATATTCATAACCATTTTCTTTAGTTTATAATCATCTGAAATTAAAAATGGTGTTTTTGTTACCTTAGAATGAACCATTTATATCTACATATGGAGCAGGTCCTCCTCCATGGAGTCCTCCATGTTGTTCTACAGTAGCCCAGAACAGACAAACCTTGAACAATGGTTCAAAATAGGGCCATTGGCATTTTTGCTTTGGCCACTGTAGCTCTCCGACATGCTTGGCTCACTGGAGAAGTTTCAGTTCTGAAACCTCACCACTAGATGTCACTAAATTTTACACACTAGACCTTTAACGCTGTGCAGCTGTAAGTAGCTCCCTCTTTTTTTTTTCTTTTTTTTTTTTTACATTGTGAAAGAATGGCACACATTAACAGTACACAGTCAGTATGAACACTGACTGTTTTAAGTACACTTTATTTTTTTCACTTTTCCAGTGTGAATACACTTTATACTCCCAACAATTAGTGTGTGGTTGTAGTATTGAATTAGGACAGCTCATATTTTTTAGCGTTCCCATTTGATGCCAAATTGTTTTGGGATGATTGTAGGGGAAGCTTAAAAATATTATTTTTTCTATTTTATCTAATTAATTAATTCATTTGATTTAATATTCATGATAAATTGTTTCTCCTTATACGATGATCTCAGTGCTGCTTCAAAGCCCTCTAACTGTCAAAGCATTTTTCACAAAAGAGATATTGACATGTGAGAAGTATAAAAAACACAGATATAAATATAGAAATGAATGATGGCAAAATTCAAAGCTGTTCAGAGTCTTGATGTTGTGCCTGCTGGCTGAGAGTCACACTGTCATGACTTCATGGTATACTTAAATAGAACAGAACCATATTAATATTATTGTGCTATTATGACGAGGCTTGGGTGATATCTGTTTTTTCATACATTCATACCCTCCTGACATTTCACTGGTATATAATGGTATTTGTGTAAAAAACAAAACAAAACAAAAAAAACCACAGCCGGTGCCAGCTAGCAATATATGTTGGCACTGCTGCTGTTTGTCCCTGCTGTTGTTGGCTGTTCTTTTAGAAGTCCTGTAACGTTATCCCCACTACTCGCAGTTGCCATCTTTCTTGGGTGAACTTCCTGTTCTGCCATTGGAAACTGACCTCTGGCTGCATGTGCTGTGCACCACATTTCCTCAATTTAGCATCTCAGTATCATCTTAACAGAAAAAGTAATGTCTGTATTCTGAAGGTATCACCGTTGGGATTTCTAAATACTCTGGTATATCGTAATACTTGCAGTACTTGTTTTGAGAAATACCTATTGTGGTGAAGAAATGCTAACTCCCTGTTACTTCATTCAAATGTAATTATTAGTATTTTCCCCCTTTTTTGATATTATCATTATTATTGTTTTTATTATTATTATTCGAAAAAGTCTAATTTAAACACAGATTGATAAAAGTATCTCATTTCCAAAAACAATACAGAGGACATGACCTCAGTGCCAATCATAGCTACAGCCGAATTCCTGGAAGATAGAGATGCATTTAACCCTGTCCTCCTCTTTATTGTTATTTGTTTCTCAGCACATCTGTATACTGAATGATCAAGCCAAGGAGAAGTACAGAGTGTGAGTAGATAAAGTGCTGCAGAGGCGATGACTGAATCAATGAAGACTAGGACCACTGTGATGCCCCTCCTTAGCTTTACTGTGTTTTGAATCTTATTTATTTTTCTACATAAGAATCCACAAAATGTGACTTGTGGGATGTAAATAATGTCAAGAACATTTAATTTCTCCCCTACTGAATACGTAGGATCAGTTATGTATATTATGGATATTTTGGTTGTTAAATTTTAATTTATTTATTCACTCATGTGTATAGACTTTACCTGTAAATCACAGTTTTATGGAGATAGAAAAAAAGGGTAATTTATTTGTTCCAATCACACGTCTCAGGCTACTTTGTGTTCAGTGAGCTGTCAGTCAAATTTAAGTAGCCTTCAGTTTGTCTCTGTTTCGGATAAATCTTCTCATTATGCCATAAAATGACTGACTTGGAATGTACTGTATGCTTTATTTCATATCTGATGTTTTCATGAAGGACCTGTTTACAGCAATATAAATCACGTTGAAACCTTGAATCCTGTTTTTCTTTTTGTGTTGCACTTTTTCAATTATCCCAGAAGAGGGAGTAATGTTAATCTCTCATTTTTTAGAACTAGGACAAAACCATAGTTTGATGGGTTTTTGATTGTTAGTCTTTAATTAGGCTGGGGAATATATTTCAAAAGATCAGAGACCTGACTATTAAACTTTGTAATGGGACCTAGTGATTTATTTTTTTCTTGAATGGCATATACATGATGAATGTTAGCAGTAAGCTCTGTTGGAGTTGACGTCTTATGAATTTGACAAGAGTTCAGGCCATTAACTTCACAGTTGTCATAATGAGTAACCATTTTACTTTTCAAAGTTGCTAAGAGTTCTCTAATGCTAATAAAGATACTAATTTATGAACCATAATTCTTGTTTAGTTTTGATTTAGGGCTACAGAGTTGACATTACTGTTCAGACACCCGACAGCAGTATTATTTAATAAATTTATCAAAAAATAGAAAGCATATCAGCACTTGAGCAGCATTTCTGCCTTTTTGAAAACATAGAAATAAGACAGGGGTCTTGGGATAGCTTTCAAAAAAACTGGGTCACATCTTTAAAGAGCCAACGTCTTCACACACACAAAAAAATATAGGTATAACAGTACATTTCACAGTGATGTTACAAATATGTACTGTTAGCTTTGTATTTTGATGGCTTTTAACACATTTTCTAATTGAATTAAATGCAAATTCTTGTCAAGGATGGGTGTTAGAAGAAGTTAAAATAAAAATGAAACCAGATCATTAAAATCATACTTATTTCATATAAATAAATCTCTTATGAATAATATTTCACCCCAGAAACAGATTTGACGTGCTGATAAGTTCTAATTATTTATTTATTTATTGGTAGGACACCATTTGTCCCAGTTTTCAAGAATGGGTGTAATAACATATTTCATATTTTAAAATAACATGACGATGTCTACTTTATAACCATATATAGTAAATAATAATAGCATTAAATGTCATGTCAATTCATGTTATAATCTTCGTATTCTCATTTATGACACTCGTTTTATTTTCATGGAGCAATGTAGAACTGCCTTCAGTGTCTGAGCAGTGCTCTGTTAGCTAAGTGGCTAATGTGGCTAACGCGGAAGCTCGTCGCACAATGTGACGTCATAGGGGTTTGTTGCCACGAAACGTTAGCCTGGCCGTCGTGTAAATATATTTGAATAACGTTGGAAATAATGAGAAACTCCTCTGACGCATTTTAGCTGGACTGCAGCGAGAATGACATTTGTTATCCCAGTCACAAGGTACAGCCAACATTAACATTAGCTTTGTGCTAAAGCTAGCTTACTGTGTCGGTCACCTTGTGACGTCGCATATGTGGGACAGCTCAAGCTCGTTTGCAGTTTTTCCACATCTGTATGATAATACACCAATAAGCAGTTAACAGCTGTGCTGCAGAGTTACTGGTTAACAGAATTTAGTTAGCTATTTAAGACGTCGTCGGACTTGAAACCTCCAGTGTCACCTGTCCTTCACGTGTAGTTGACTTCCAGTTTGTTTATGCTTTGGATTTCCTCAGGGTGCGTATGTTTTTGTAGCTGCCCTCCACTTAATTGTTTCTGCTTTGAAGCCGAGCGGCTGCAATGCATATTAAAGAAGAGACTATAGCCAGATTAAAGCAGTTTGACACTGGAGACAAGTTCTCCTCTCTGTCGTTGCTGCCCAAAGCCTCAGTGCTGATCCCACTGTTTGTGAAGAATGGAGAGCTGTGCACCTTGATGACCCTGCGTTCACAAGAGGTAACTCCAGTGGGTGACAGCTGTGGGTGGACTAAACTATTTATATTATCTGACCCAACTTCTGACTGACCTGTGTGTCTCTGCAGCTGAAGAGAAGTGCTGGTGAGGTGTGTTTCCCAGGTGGGAAGAGAGACCCCAGTGACAGAGATGATGTGGACACAGCTCTGAGGGAGGCAGAGGAGGAGATAGGTCTACCACCTGATGATGTCCAGGTGGTCTGTAGACTGGTCCCTATTGTCAGTAAGGTAGGAGAGTACAAATAATTCTTCTTTTTGAGGGCATCAGCTTCTTTGGGTTCATCTCTGTCTCACATACTCCCTCCCATCTCTTCTACAGAGTGGTCTGTTGGTGACCCCGGTGGTCGGCTTCATCGATGAGTCATTTTGTCCCTGTCCTAACCCAGCTGAGGTCAGTGCTGTGTTCACAGTCCCTCTGGATTTCTTCACCAGCGACAAGGACCACTATGCTACCCAATGGGCTGCTGGGATGAAAGGGACGCAGCATTCTTTTTATTTTGTGGACCCTGATTCAGGAAGCCAGTATCACATATGGGGCCTGACTGCCATGATTGCCATACTGGTCGCTGTGCTGGCTCTCAGGAAAAAACCTGAGTTTGATGTCGCTTTCGACACTGAGGATCCGTTATCGGTCTTCCAACAGATACTAAATAGAAGAATTAGTAAACTATGACTATTTTTTTTTTTATGTTTGTAATTACTTTGTGCTAATACAAAATACCTGAAGCCAGACGTTTTGTAACTTAAGTGCATTAACTGTGAATTGAAAACTCTACTGACATGCAGGATTTGCTTTAATAGATTAATATAAAAACCTTTCAGGGCTTTTTTTTTAAATATATCAAATGCATCTTAAACTTCGAGGGGGCGAGGGAGGGAGAGAAAAGCAAATGAAGACATTTAAAGTTTTATTAATTCATTTAATGTAGCAGCAGGATTACAGATATAAACAGAAGAGTATACAAATGTCCAGACCAAGGCAAAGTACATGTTAATAATAGTTCAGATGTATGATAACACACTGGGGTTTGACCTTTATCCCGACTGCAGGGTCTTAAGGCTAGATACTAAAGCTCAAGCTACACAGAACGGATACAACAGAACTGTTGGAGAATGTGAAATCGAAAGCGAACTAGGAAAAAGTGAGCAAACTGATTACACACAAGATACAGCTCACACTATTGGCAATTAACAGTTAATTTATCATGGTTGCTCCTTTTGATCAAGCGTTTCACAGCAACAATAGTAATGTTGACAAGCACATCAACACAAGAAAGCTCTCCATAAAACAATCTCCACTGTCTCGTCCCTTTTACCTCACATGTACAAATCTCATGAGGCATGAAAAACATTTTCAACATAAAGTAACAAACAAGTTGACAATTCACTGGTGAAGCTGCACAATATTATGTTGAAAGTACTCAGTCCTGCAATGGATTTCCAAACAGAAAATGTTGAAACTAAAAATGTATCTGTATGGGCTATGGTTAGGCTTGTGTTTAGAAATAAAAACTCAATCACTTAAAAGTGTCCTGATGTTCAACAGTCCTAGAGAATAAAAAGGACACGGAGCCAAATGGCAAATGACACGAAAGGGACACCAGTAAACACAGCAGAGTAACAGTTAAGTTATCAAGGCACACAAAGTTCTGTTGAAAGCATCACAATTGAAATTCAAGATACCCCTGCAGTATATTTCACATTTAAATATACATGGATATTCATTTACATGACTGAAGGACAAAACTGATATTTTGTAAAGATTTGTGTGCTATCTTCACCACCATTAAATTAACGTTTCACATGGGTATTTTCAGGTGGAAGTGGCTATTCGGAGAGTCAGACTGAGCATCCTGGATTGCTCAAAATGAAACGACTGGACGTGAAAAACATGAAATTACACCACGGTCCGAGACAAAACAATCTGACAAATGTACAGTGATACAAATGACAGTTGGTGCCACCCCACCCACACCCTCTCTGCCTCAAAATATATGTTCTCTAAAACTGTAATTGGTCCGATGTTAGATGTAGAGCAAGCTCTATGTCCACACCATGAGGTAAAATTTACATTCATGAAACTGAAGTCACAGGTTGGCTTTCTGTGTTGGTATGGCTTTAAGAGGCATTACTGTTCCGCGCTTCTTCCCGCAACATCATGTGCTCTTAAACTCCCCAAGAGGAATGGAATGCTTGGAAAACATCACTACTGCGCTCTAACCTGATCTACAGTTAATGGATGAGTCAAAGTGCCATTTGAGATGCATGACATAAAATAAGGAGAAAAAAAAAACAACAACACACGCACACACAAGAGAAACCTAGCCCATGTATTATGTCATACAGGTTGGGTAAAGTCAATGTTAACAGTAGAATTAAGTTCCAACATATTTGCTTGATGTCCACTTAATTACATTTCTAATTTCAGTCACACACTTGACAATAAACCTGCGCTTCATTTCAGGAAAAACATACCAGCAATGATATTCTGTGCTATGAGCATAAACCAAAAAAGTTTAGTTTTACAAAAATACTCTACATTTTGATACATGGATACAAAATTCTAAAAAAGATAAGTTACTTTAAAATGGATCACTAACAGCTGCAGGACAAAATAGTATGACTATGAAAATGTAAACAAATGCATATGTGAGCAATACTATTCTAACATTTGAATTATTCTCAAAAAAATTGGCTTTTCTGATAACGCCAAATTGGCTACTGTTGTAGATATGGAAAGTACAGCAGTGTTATTTTTGCATAAAAAAAAATAGAGTAATGTATCAAATTGGTGGAAATGTTAATGAGACGTGAACTGATCCATGAAACAAAGTACCTTTACATATCTTTTATAAATCTTGTACTGAAAACAACATGCTGAATTACTATCCATGTAAGAGCTGCATAATTTAAACGAGTAAGTACAAATGAGTAAACATCATGAGGGCATTTGCAAGGACAAGTATGAGACAAGATGACGGCGATTCACAACAGGAGCTTTGGTATGCCTGGGTGCACTCCAGTCTGACCCCACAACAACAGCCAGCTCTCTAGACTCGACTCCGCTTCAAAACTAACAATTAATGTCAGTGCTATTTGATATAAGTATAAATTGTTATTTACTAACATCACATCAGAAGTGCCCATCACTCCTGCACATAGCACCATAGATAGAATCAAAATGGCGGCCTCTATGTAACAGAGATTTCATTTACCAGTGAGCCCCTGTTCACAACACAAGGGACGGGTACTGGGTGCCAACTTCACACGGTGCCGGCCTGCACGCGGTACCAACACTGAGACAAAAACTTAAATATCTAACACAACACAAGGTAAAACAGTCTCAAGTGACAGATTGAACAGTAAATAGTACAAATAGCAAATACGATGAAAAATCCTTCATTTCAATGCACAAACTAAATCAGTATTTTAGGTGTTTTGTCGATGTGTAAAACACAAAGGCCTGCGTAACCACTCCAACACTGAAAAATGACTGTTGTGGGAATGGCTGTTTGGTTTTTTTTGTTTCGTTTTTGTTTTTTTAGACAGACTTGACTGGACCACTGAGACTGAATACAAAGAGGAATTCAACAGTGAGTCGACATTCTGTACAAAGATGTCCTCGACCTCAAAAATATTCAGACATGAGAAAATGTAAAAATGCTTGGTTAGGATGTATTTACCTTTACAAAGACGACTGCTGTGTTTTTTGTTATTTTTTTTTTTATCTCTCGTGTTTTTTAACTGGACGTTTCAGAGTATAAATTCAGCTGGGTCAGTAGAGAGCTGTGGACGGATATAAGGATTAGCTAGAGGTTATAAAGTGCTTGAGATAAAATGTTTATAAAACCACACAACACTCCATTTTCACTAGTGGAAATTTTCTCTCTATCCACGTTAAATTGGTAAAGGTTACCAACTTCTTCAAAACAAACAAACAAAAAGATACACACACTAAATAGTTGAATGCTTCTTAAAATTTCACCAAGAAAGCTTCTGCAAACCCAGTAACGAGGATTAACCTTTTGAAAACACTGGGAGGTGCCAAAACGAAAGGCCAAGTCACATTATTCACCAGGATGAATCTCATTTGCGAGTGTTAACAGCCCCTCCTCTTTCTGCCCTTGGGAGAAATCCCCTGCAATACCACTAAGCATTGATATCCATTTTGGTGAGTTAACAGATAGCAATATTTAAACTCCTCTCCTCCTTAATACAGTCTGCTCAGGTGCATACTCCAGCCATGCCAGCAAATATGATGGAGGCAAAACATTCTACAAATGTACTTAATTTCAGTCTTTACTCTTAGAGTAGATTTTAGTGAAACTGTTGACACACGCAAACACAAAGGTTAATTAACTGCAAAAAAAAACAAATCTCACATTATCCATGTCAAAAGTTTAAATTGAGTGGTGACATTATTTCAGCCTTGTTTCAATGCCAGATTATCCCCCCCTCCTTTCCACACAACAGACAGAAAAACACGTCTCATAGACTCACAGTGAAGTGAAGGTTTGGAGTTTCCACACTCACAAAATGAGATTCAGCCCATATCTGACACTTTTGTGCAATCTGATAGTCACTCCATGGTCGGCTGTTTTATCTACCCTGCCTACTCTCACAGACTCATCTCCATCACATTACGATTCCCCCGTTTCCCTGTCGCTGACATTCTTTAACCCTTTCCCAGTTTTTCCACCGAACCTGGTAGGTTTTTATCATCATCATCATCATCATCATCATCTCTTAGGCTCACATTATTAAAACACTCTTAAGAAAACACTGCATTTCTGAGACTGATGGATAAAGCAGTTATTACAGGCCTCTCTGATCCTGCAAGAGGGGTAATAACAAAGGCGGATTCTTCAATTCAAGGACAATGGATGTATGAAGGCTATAAGTATTTATAAATATTCCATTAAAACAAGGAGTTACATGAGCTCATAATTTGGGGTTTTAGGTAAAAGGGAGCATTAAATTCTTCAATCGTGTGGCATTGGCACAAAACACCACCGTTCTGTTTGTTGATGTAAGGATGGATAACTCTCGGCTACATATCACTCACTCTCCTTAGTGCCCACATGGTCCAAACATATATCACTGCTTCTGTAGGCTTTCCAGTAGGTCCTCGATTTTATTCATGTTGGACGATGCAGATATCGACGCCTGCAATTGATTCTGTAAGCTGCTCTGTATCTGGGTCTGTAGATTGGTCTGCATTGGAGTCGGCAGGCTTGTTTCTATGGTTGCCTGCAGACCAGACTGCAGAGCTGTTTGTGTGTTTGTCTGCATTGCGTTCTGTAGGCTGGTCTGCATGGCGTTCTCTAAGCTGGACTGCATTTGTGCCTGGAGGGTGTTCTGTAAGCTGCTGTGCATGGTGGTCGGCATTGTGGAGGCAGCTTGGCCCATGGGCTGGTCCAACAGAGGCTGCATGTGACTGGAGTTTTGGGACTGGGCCTGAGCTGGCAGGGTGGGCCCAGAGGAATTGAGCAGCTGGGGTGAATCTGGGAGGAAGAGAAAATGGAGGAAATCACTGTGATTAAATGGTAAGTAAAGGTATTGGCAGTGGCATTCAATACAGTTCTTAACTCAGATTTACCATACGTCAGAGGTGGAGAAGACCAAAATCATCTTACCATTCTGGATGCCAAACACAAACAGGTTGGCCTGTCCTTGTGGAGCCACATTCCCACCCACAGTTGTCTGGAAAAGCTGCTCTGGGGGCTGCTGGCCAGGGTTGGCTACCACACCCACACCACCCTGTACCACAAAGATGGTTGTGCCAGGGGCTGGAGCCTGGTTGTTCAGCTCCTGTGAGCCAATAGTGCTCTGCAGGCTGGACAGAGACGTCTGTGGCAAGAACAGCTCCACGGGTTGACTGCTCGGCACGTTGCTGGAACTGGGGCCCACTTGCATTGGCTGCTGTTCTTGGAACAGGTTCTGCTGTTGGTTCTCAGAGGATGTGGAGTTGCTGCCTGAGGAGCTCTGGTCTTGGAAGGACATGGGCTCTGCTGGGTCTGGCTGGGGGATTCCAACACTAATGCTCCCCATGGGGGAAGCGCCTTGGGTCTGAGTGCTAAAGAGAATAGTTGGCGGAATAGCCTGGGGGTTTAAATCTGTGGTGCAGAGGAGGAGACCTGTTTGCTGGGGTTGGGAAAGCTGACTCTGGGGGACAGGGTTAGGCTGGGAGTGGTTTGGGATATTTTGGAACAAGGAGCCCTGCTGGCCCATTGGAAGCTGCGGTGGCTGTTGCTGGTTCTGCTGTGGAGACTGCTGCTGCTCCATGGGGGTGCTCTGTTGCTGCATTTGGGAGAGCTGAGCTTGGGGTTGGTTCTGAAACATTGCAACAGACTGGGACTGGCTGTTAGATGTCTCCATGGAGGCGATGAATGCCAGCTGCTGTGGCTGTTGTTGGGGCTGGGGGTTTGGGGACAGGTATAGGGTTGACCCTGTAGGCTGCTGCTCTGAGTTGAGACTGCCACTGGCAAGAACAATCTGCGCGTTCTGAAGCAGGGCAGCCTGGACCTGCTGTTGGGAGCCCTGGGTCTCAGCCAGGGGCCTGGGCGATTGAAAGAGCTGCTGCGGGGGAGATGTGTGGGACGGAGGCTGTGTTGGGAAGCTGGTTTGGATGGTGAGCAGCTCTCCAGCCTGTTGAAGGAGGGACACTGGCTGCTGTATTTGTGGGGAGGAGTGGATCTGGGGCTGAAGCAACTCAGCCTGAAGGTGCTGCTGTAAATTCTCCAACACCTGCTGCTCTTGCAGTTGTTGTTGCTGTTGTAAGTTGCTCAGCGCCTGATTCTGCTGCTGCTGTTGTAGCTGATGTTGCTGTAAATTGGTAAGTATTTGATTTTGTTGTTGCTGATCCTGAAGTTGGATGTTGTTAAGGACTTGCTGTTGCTGATTTTGTTGCAGCTGTTGTTGTTGCTGTTGAATATTCTCCATGATTTGTTGCTGGTCTTGTGGCTGTAATATAAGTTGTTGTTGGATCTGCATGTTGCCAAGAACCTGCTGCTGTTGCTGCTGTAAGTTTTGCTGCTGTTGTTGATGCTGAAGGTTACCAAGGATCTGCTGTTGTTGCTGCAGTTGTTGATGTTGCTGAAACTGTTGCTGTATTTGTTGTTGTTGTTGTTGCTGTTGTATCTGTTGTTGCTGTATCTGTTGCTGTTGTTGTATCTGTTGTTGCTGTATCTGTTGCTGTTGTTGTATCTGCTGTTGCTGCTGTATCTGCTGTTGCTGTTGTTGTATCTGTTGTTGCTGTTGCATCTGCAGCTGTTGCTGTGGCGATAGCGAATTATCTGTGGTTCCCAATCTAAGGCTATTCATGTTCTCCTGGACGTGCTGCTGCAGGGAGTCTGCAGAGGGAGTGGGGCTGTACAGCACAGAGTTCAGCTGCTGCTGGGCTACAGCCGCCTCTATAACCTGCTGGAGCGTGGTGTTACCTCCAGCCTGTAGCTCCCTTACTGCCCTCTCCAGCTGTGCAACCCCTTCCTGGGGGAATAGGGGAACCTGTGACTGCTGTGGCTGAGAGGGAGTTGCTATCTGGGGCATGGCCACAACTACAACCCCTTGGCTATTATTGGAACTCTCAGGCGGTATGCTGTCCTGAGGGTCTCTGAGGAATTGCTGCGGGACTTCTGGTGTCACAGGGGGGATTGTAGTATCACCCGACACTGGGAAGGAGGTTGTGGGGGCAATGTCTTGCTTTTGCATGGTGCTGAGAGACTCCAGGCTGGGGAAGACAGGTGGCGCCTGGGGAAGCTCCACATCTTCAGGTTGTAGGGGCATTGGGCTCTGAAAGGATTCTCCACCTGAATGAGGACTAGAGCTGAGCTCCAGCGTCTGCTGCACCGCAGCAAGAGGGTCAGTGGAGGGCTGAGAAAAGAAAGGAAACAAGAGTGTTACCTGTAACTGCAGTTCTGAAGTAGATATTTCTGTTCTGCCTTCTTGAAAATGACTGGTATCTTACCTTGAAGACGTCTGTGGCTGGTGGATTGCTGGACACTTCCATTGGTGTGTCCTCTTGGCGTTTGGAAGGCGGAGCAGAGCTGTCAGTTTGCTCAGAAGATAAAGATTTGATCTGGCCATCAAATATACATGTCTTGACCAGGGAAGCTCCCTCTGTCTTTATTGTCGGGACATTTGAGTTATCAGCTGTGGGTAAGAGTGGAAACAAAGGATAGCTTTGTGTCTTTGAGAAGAACAAGTGCCTATAATGATGTTTTGTGATTTAAGTCATTGATGAAACCTGGCATTCACACAACCAATATGTTGATTCAGACAACCAATGCAGGTTAAGTTTTCCCTCATATAATATGGTCACAGTATCTTAAAAATGGGATTACCATGCACATAGACTGGTAGCAGTACCTGAGTCTGGAGTGTAGGTGAAGGGCTGGGCGTCATGTGATCTACCAGCATTGGTCATCACGAAGATTCCCACAGAAACGGGAGAAGAGATTGACAGGTTGTGGAACGGAGGGACTGTCACTATCAAATGATTCTGAAAGAGATTGGAGATCCAAACGGGCAATCACATTTTCAGAAAAATCTCTTAAAGAATATGCTCAATGAAAGCGGGTGGGTTTGATTAATTCAAGGAGAAACAAGAGTATACACATCATTCAGCCGCATCTACCTGATGGAAAAGGTCCATGTCAATCTTTGCTTCAGCTTGCCAGGAATTATCATCTGCAAATAAAACAACATATGTTTCTTCTTCTGCCCATCAGAGGATTACAAGCAGAAACCTTTATCCAAACAAATTACACTGATGTACAACACTGACAACACCAAGCTGACCACACTACCTGCAATATTCTCCTGGAAAATAACTTTGGTTCCTTTGAGGAAGTTCTTTCCGATGATAAACACTTCCTCTCCTCCTCTCACTGAGCAGCTGTGAAGACTCTTCTTCAGGATCTCTGGCACTCCTGCTGGCTGGGCTGGAGAATGAAAGAAGAGTCAAGGGATCAAAACTCACATGACATCTGGGCTAATGTTTACCAGAGGGCATGTGGAAGACAATAACAAAAAGAAATTTCCACAGTCTGATCATCCTAAATGCTATGTTTGACGAAAGCCTCACTCCAAACATCACTGGAAACATAGTCTCATAAAGACCTATGGCTCTTTGTATTTCTTTAGACCAGTCACAATCGCCTTGGGCAGCACTAAGCCTAGGATGCAGCAATGATGCTCTTGCAAAATACTGTCTGGGGGGAAACTGGTTATGGTTGAGAGGTGAGTGCTGGCATTAAAATTAGTAAATACTTGGAAAAGAAAATGCCACATAAAAGATTAAAAAACATCTTAGCATGTGGGTTGCTAGCTTGGATGTTGTTATCATTTCACACACAGCCCTAAATGTGCATATAGGTCTTGCTAAGCATGACTAGTCACATGTTGTGTCAGAGATTTTGAAAATGGTAACATGCTTTTAAGTAGGCCACTGACAGGTTTATACCCACAGTCTACATTCTGTGAGCCAGACTACTGGAAACACAACTTTCCCAGCATTTAGCCTCATGTGTCCTGGCAGTGGCTGTTACCTTTGTAGCTTTAAACTGATGTTTTCTTTTTTTTTGGTTGATTTTGTTCATATTGTGCCTGAGCTACTTACTGCAGAGGATGGGTGATGAGGTGGCCTGTAGAGTAAGGACTGATCCATCAGGCTGGGGGATGTTGACTCTGAAGGCCAGCCTGGCACGTGTGCTCTTCTTCTTGGACCCTGCCACACCAATACGTGCCTCCACATCTGCATTACGCAGCTTCAAAATCCCTACACGGTCCACCCTGTAGGAACACGAAAGAATGGGAAATACATGACAAGCACACTAAGTACTTGTTCAACGTAATCACAGTGTAAGTATTAACTGACCCAGAATTATGCACAGAGAATAACCCCTTACGCGAGTGTCATGTCATTGCTGGGCTCCAGAGGGATCTCAATAACAGTGGTACCCTCTATGTCCACCTCCTTGCAGGCTGTGGTGTTGCGCCCTGTCACTCTGCACGCCTGGTAGAAACCGTGAGGCTTTACTCTGCCTGCATCATTCGCCACAAACACCTGCAGCACAACTGGTTCATTCACGCCTTCCAACTGGGGACAAAAAAAGAAACTGAGTGTAAACAACTTAAATCGACCCCCACTTACAATAGACATCGTAACATTATAAAAGACTAAAGTTTTAAAACCAACGCACACTGGTCATGGAGTAATTTCCTGATCCATACTAAGTGATGCTTCTTTACTAAAGCATTCATGAGAGTGCGCACTAAAACCATGCATACTGGAAGGTGCAATGTAATGTGTGGATGCTGGCCAGATTTGCCAGAAAGAGATCTTTTTTTCTCCTTGGATAGATTTTACAAAAATAGACAAAGGGAATACACTGCATAAGGGAAATGTTCAATTAGTACATCTTTACTGTTATCATACACATGCTCTGATGAATTTCGGGGCAATTTCGTTGAGCGCTTCATACTTTACACACATTAACAGCTGGGAGCAGCTCAGCACAGCCACCGTTTTATCTGCTGGCCACTAAGCAGCCCCAGTGGAGCAGTCAAGGGTTAAGTGCCTTATTGATAAATCAAGGACTGGCGCTATTCCTTCACTTCCTTTCCCAAATGTATCAGTAACAGGTAAAATTACTATTGGATGGTCTAGTGTTTAATCGTTTGCCCTCTTAAAATGGAGTCTGTTGTTGATTTGTTACACAGAATATAGCAGGCTACCCACTGAATGCTTCTCATGTGTCTGAACAGGCATGAGCGTTCTCTTGTGGCGCATGGTGCCCCACACTCTGTGTCCTGCGTATTTTTGGCCTTATTCAGTCACTTCCAACTTAGGTGTTAATATTTCTCCTGTGTCAAGAAGCAGCTGGTGGCCCTCTTTGTCACACCTTGACAGTGGGGAATCCCTGTTGTGTGCGGTCTTTGACAGAACCTCTGCTGCCCTCAGTCAGATAGCGAGCTCTGTGCTGGGTCTCTGGCTGCACCAGGATCTTTAGCTCTTTCCCGTCACTCCTCGGGGGATACTGAGTAGACAGTGACCCACCCTTCACTGTAGTTCCCGACTCCAGAGAGCTGCAGGGCAACAAAAATCACATGATAAAATTAATATGACTTTTAGAAATTCAATTACCCCAGACAAAACAAAGTGAAATGCCCTTCACTGTATTCCTACAGAGGGACAAGCGTACTCTGAATTAAAATGCCGACAGAATGTACATCTGACAAGGATCACCCCACCTTGCTATGGGACTGGTCTTGTCTGTGCCCAGCTGGGATAGGACAAAGTGAGGAGCCTTGGCGCTATCAGCATCAAACACATCCATGCTGTCCTCTGGATGAGCTGGCTTAGGCCCAGGCCGCTGGCGAGGGGTGCGTTTCCTCGACTTGCGCGGCACCTCTGTATTGTCGTTGTAGGAGATGGAGCTGATCAAGCTGAAGTTGGAGACGGAGTCATCTGCCCACATGCTGCTGCTATGCTCTGAATCTGGGCCTGTTGGACCAGATGCAGCAGGCTCCTCCTGGCAAGACATCTGGCTGTCGTCAAACAGGTCCTCAGGTGGCGGGGATATGCTCAACACAGGCCTCCGCTTTGATGGGGTGTTCTGAGGCTGCTGGACTCCTAGCCCTGACAACACTCCTGACCCTATGTCTCCTGTTGCAGTGTTTGCTCCACTGTTGCCTCTGCTGGGGGCAGATACAGCACCCTCCATACCTTGAATCTCTGAAGCTCCAGCTCCATCCCCTCCAGTGGAGTGGAGATGCTGAGGAACCTTGAGATGGTCTGAGGATGAGGTAGAGGAGCCAGTGGATGGGGCTCCCATGGCCAGGGATGGGGCAGAGGGGCTGGAGGTGGAAGAGGTGGCATCTGTGGTGGTATATACAGATAAATAAGTTAGTACAGATGCTCAGCACAGTGCAGGCTAGCAGTCCCATTCAAGCAGCTGAATTTGTGCATGATTTGTATTGATTTCCCCTCTTCCCAACTCTAATTTCAACAGACTGTTGTGGGTTATATGCTCTCACTGTGCATGCGAGAGCTATCAAGCATTGATCAAATATTCTGAAGTTAAAGTTGAGAAGGGTACTATAGGTCCCACAATGTTTTGATTCCTACAAAACCTTTCTCAATTAAAATCAATGTGACAAAACTGACATGCTTTGTTTACAAAAACAAAAGCAAGCTACAAATTGTTACATACACATTGCCAGAAAGAAACATAACAAAATCTGGTCAAACTTTCTTGTACAGCCAAATTTGCAAGCTGGTAATGTGGCGCCAAATTAAATTTGCCAGGGTTGCCAGGGTTACAGTACAGTTTGTGCAATGTGCATTCAGTAGTAAACAGTAGTTTGCGCATGCCAATTGGAAGATTTGGTTGGGACTGAGCGTAGCCATGGAGACAGAATAAACAAGCCTCTGACCTATGGAGCAGTGAACTGCAGACCATTTTATATGCAGACACTCCCTGCCTCAGAGGGAACTTCCTGCAATAAAAACGAGACAGCCAATGAGCAACAAGAGAGCTGATCATTCAAGATTCAACTTCTGTCAATCAGTAAATTGGATGAGTTCATGTGCTGAAGAAGGAGTAACTTTTGAAGTTGATCATTTATTTATACACATTTTGAAGCACGTGTATTTGGTTAATGATGATCTGACGGACATTACAGGGGTCATGCTTTTGATCAGCACTGCTTAAGGCCAGCTGGGTCAGACAGGATAGTTAAAGGGTAGTGTTAACAAAAGCGCTCTCTCCGACGCTGTTGACCAGTTAGTTTGCTCTCTAGATTAAAGTCAAGACTAGAATTCTTCAGGGATTTAACTGATGTTGGCTGCCCTGAACCATGATCTAAGATCAGACCATATTCCTCTGGTTTGCTAATGATAGCTAAAAGACAGTCCAACGATTGCTAGGGGCAACTTCACTGTTTCATAAAGAGACAGAACCTTCGTAATTAGCTGATTTGAAACATGGGAGTAGTCGTATTAGCTGCAAAGCTCAAAAGACCTGAATAATATCTGATGACCTTCTGTTGTATGCGTGTTTAAAAGTGTATGTGTGAATGACAAATGTGCATGGGCTATTTCTGCTTTAGGCAAAATATTTAAAAACAAAACTCGTAAAAATTACAATGACACCTTCAGAGAGATTCACTGATGCGAAAGCGCTAATACACAGACTCTGGAACACAATATAATGTCATAACATGAGGGATGTCTGAGATGACTGCTTAAAGCCAAAGGGTAGTATTGGATCAGCAGCACTGGGGTGTTGCTGCATCTCTAATGCCGGACCACCTAAACAGATTTTTAACTGCCTAAAAAGCTGAGTGAAAAGAAAGCACTGAGCACAAGCATCACAGGGGGAAGTGCTGCTGAAAAAAAAGAGTGAAATGAGAAAGAACAAGCTATGTTAGCATGCTGTTAATGCAAACTCGCCATTTCTTGGAGCTGTGATTCAGAGCAAAGCTTTCCATGAAGAGGACTGTGTATGACTTTCATTACAAAGAAGACACTGAGATTCCCTCTCACTAGTGAGCTATAGATTTGTTACATAATAACTCAGTTTAGAAGTTGGTTTAAACTTTATTCAGCAATTTTTAATAGATATCCTTTTTTTCAATCAGTCAGTTTTGTAAAGTGGTTTGATGAGGAGCTGCAGGCACTTAATGCAGTTGTAGTTTGGGTGACTATAGCCCCAACACAGAGTGAAGGCAAGCAATGCCCCTTCCCATGCTGCTGCTAGGATTATAAAAGAGTACCTAACAGGATCACCTAACACCAGCATGTCAAACAATCCAACAGATGGGACTAACTGAACAATGAAAATGATATTCATTGATTGGTGGTTCCTGTAATTCAGCTTGATAATTAAGAAATGAGAATCCCAAATTACACTTAAATACAGTTCAAGTTCAACTGTAAAGATCACCTTTACCACTCTGTCCCCAACCCTTAAGTTGGTACCAACACAGCTTTGTGGAACCAGTGAAAACCTTGATATACCCAAAGGAAATCTAATATGTCCGTGCCTTGCTATGCCAGCAGAATTAAAATACTTTCACTGAAATATAAAAAGCATCATAGCTCATATAATCTCAAAGAGTCAAAAACATTGTCTCAGAAACTGTCGAAAGGGTGAAGTTGCCCCCAGACACTAATGCAGGCCATATGAGTTTCTTCACCCCTACTGTTTTGGGGAATAGTTTGGCAAGGGGAAACTGATCCCAGATCATGGTTTTCATGGACTGAGCAGGTAGCTCACCTGAGGCCACGGCTGCAGAGGGGGGAGGTCCCGCCTCTCCCCCACTCTTCTGGCTCATGGTGGGTGGATCTGTCTGGGTGGACGACGGCTGGAGCTGGAGCTCTTTGGGAAGGAGGTCATATACCGACTCTGTTATAAAGGATGAGCAGAAGAAGATCAATTAGATTCTGAAATATCACTTTATTGTTTATCACAGGACCATGTAACTAAAAAAGCTTGTCCACTCTTCACAAGTGGAAGTTTTGCCTGAAAGGGACAATTCACCCCAAATCAAAACTACATGTTTTTCCTCTTACCTGTAGTGTTGGGGATATCGGCTATAAAAATGTCTGCCTTCTCTCAATTATAATGCCACTAGATGGCACTCAGCTTGTGGTGCTCAAAGCGCCAACAAAATACATATGTAAAACTCAACAGCAACATCTTTTTCCAGAAATCATGACCCTGTTACTCAAGATAATCCACAGACCTTGTTGTGAGCAATTTCATGTAGGAACTATTTTCTTTCTACCAAACTAACCCGGCCAACCCAATCACCATGCAGAGTGAGGCAGGCATCTGCTCACAGGCGAGAGGCTTGTGCTCATGACAGTGTAAGATTTAAATATTAATGGCATCCTCCTCAGCTGAGCTTTAATGTTAGGTACCTAAGTGGTGCTGGATGAGCCATAAAGAGACACTGCTGTTGAGTTTTTCGATTTACTTTTTGCCGCTTTCAGCACCACAAGCCGAGGGCCATCTAGTTCCATCATATTCAAGAGAAGGCAGACATCTCTACAGCCGATATCTCCAACACTCTACAATTAACACCAAAAAAATCTAGATAGATAAATAGCACTACAGGTAAGAAGGAAAATATGTGTTTTTGATTTTGGGGTGAACTGTCCCTTTAAGCCTGTTCAGAAATGAAGCCCACTGAAATCACAAACCTTTTGTGGTAAAATTAGCCCCCATTTTTAAAAGGAGGACAGAGCATCTGCTTTTGCCATCAGTTAACTTGAGATGGTGTGCTCACAAGCATACATTACTATGTGCATATCATTGTCCAGTGCAGAATTTCCTTCATATGCAGTGCCACTAATCACAGCTAGACACAGGCTCCAAAAATTCAAAAAGACCCAATTTCTCTTTTGAAATACGGTCAACAATTTCTTCACAAAATTAATTGTCAGTCGTTAATTTCACTCATAGTAATGCAGTCCAGGTGGTTTCTCACTTGGTTGGATGTGGTTTGCTTCTCAAAAATTAGCAGAGGCAATCCTGGAATGTGACTGTAAGCAAACCTTGGTCTCATGATCAGAGTTTTTGACATGTAGCCTATACAAAGAAATTCTGCTGTCAACACTAACACAAGGCGGGGTATCTTATGATGAACTAAATTAGCCTCTCATGGGGTTTAGTGTAATAAGACCTACAGAGACATTCCTTGATATTTGATAGTGATATTCCTAGAAGTCTATAACCAACACTGCAGCTACACTGGAATAAACTGCGTCCGTTGGCAGATAAACACATGATTAGGTAGTCTGGTTGCTAAGAAACAGGGACCCATCAAGACCCTGACATGGATATTTCAGCTGTGCATCGGTGGCACCCAGCATGTGTAGTAGTCATCTGACACTCTGCTATGACTTAGCACCAGCAGAATGGTGAAACTGACAAGACACATGATCTCGCACTTCTGTGACGTCAACAATGCTGCTAAGGGAGTGACAACACAAAGTCACCACAGTTCACACAAAGAGCTGCACAGTGCTCCAGTTCACACAGGCAGGCAAAACTTATAGCATCAATGTGGGCCAGCTCCATGCTCCATTGTTTATCCATCACTAATCTGTCTTTAATGGATAGTTCCCTTTGAAAATACAATAAAAGTTGTTTATCCGTCCACAGGGCTTGGAGATGTAGCCTGCAGCAAATCCCATTACGGCGGAGATGAATAGCATTTGGGTTGTGGTGCTCCAAGTGCCAAAAAAATTACATATGAAAAACTCATCTGCAATGTTTCTCTCCAAATAAAGAAAGGTGTTGATAATTCACAGATTTTGATGCGAACAGTGTCCTGTGCAGGAAGAAAAATACAGCGCAGCATAGTGATAACTGTACACAATGTAATCTGTAGACTATTGTCAATAACCAGGCTGTTTGAATGAACAGTTCCTCTAAAACCGGACAAACCATGACTGTATTTACACAACTTCTAAAATAGAAAGTCAAACAAAAGATCTCCATTAACCTAGGTGTCTTGGATAAAAGCTCATATAATAAACTTTAATGTGGCGTAGAAGCAAATAGCAAAGTGTGCATGATCCTCACGATAACCCTCCATCTGTGTCTGTTGTGCTTTGTTCATAGTGTGAAGAGAGAGTCTTTGTGAGAGTCTTTGTGCAATGATGCATTACAGATTGACTGGCAACCCGACATGACCTCAGCCTTGACTATTACCCTTTCACACAGGAGATGCGTGTATGATGCGAGTCCACTGAGTGTATGTGCAACCTGCCCGGAGCCCATTCATGCGCAACCAAGAGCATGCCATTCGCATATGACGAATGTCGTCACCATTCAGACACTCACACTACATCTGCAGCATACCCAAAAACAGACTTGTATTACATAATAAAGATAACAGAAATGCCTGTTCACTGAGCTGTGCATCTTCCGACCCAGATTGGGAGGAGGGTCACAAAGCCAGGCTGGATGACATGCATTTGCTGGATCAAAATGAGTCAACACTAGGTTTAACTATGTCTCTATGCTGGTTTGAATAAGTCACTTGCTCTCCCCGTGTGATTGCAGATCACAGAGCAAAGCAGTACAAGCACAAGATGATATTTTCGATGGATCAGTGGTGCTTACACACATATCCTCCCTGCGTACAGTATTTACCCCAAACATTCACATCACAGTTTGTTTAAAACATTCTCAGTAATCCCACTGATAGAAAACCTACCCAAATGAATGTTACAAGATTAGATTTTATAGTGTCAATATGGAACAAAACTGCCATGAAGCTTATCGACCACATTTGCCTGCCACATATTGAGCATACTTGTTCACATGTGGACTATTAGGTTCAGTACAGTTACATATAATATTTAGTCTACTTATCTTTAACACATAAGGCTGATACACAGTCCAAGCACAAACTGGTTAACATCCATTGGTGCTCAATCATTCATGTTATTTGGATATGTAAATTCACTGTCTGGATTTAATTCAGTGTTTTGAATTTACTCATGCGCCAAACTGCCAAGGGAGGGGACAGTAGACAAAACAGTGTTTGTACATACACGTGGTGTGGCTTGTGGTGGTCGAAAAATTTAAGAAAAATAATCAACACTTTTCTAATACTGATTCCAGTAAAATACTTTATTATTTTGCTTTTAAAAAAATGTTTCAGCCTAAGAAAAAAAAAGCCAAAGATTTAAAATGTAGGTATTAATTGTTGTCAAACAGCTGTATACAGAAAGAATCACATTGTTTAGTGCTAACTTTCGTTACTTTATGATTTTGTATATTCTATTTTACCGTCACATTACATTTTGGACTTAAAAGTGTTTAGCTTTGAGACAAAGCTCTATTCATCAACTCGAAAACATTTAACACTATCAAAGTCCCTCTTATTTTCCAGGCAGAATAAGGTGCTTCCTCTGAGCTATGGCGTATCCTTGCAGTACGGATCAAACATATATGATTTCTGGGAAGCGGTATTATTGTTGGCGCAGCTGTCGTAAAGACAACCGGATCACTTTCCGTTTTGCTCAGAGCCTGGCAACAGGGCTTTATTTTGATGGGTAGAGTTTCCACATTTACGTTGGTTGTTCCACCATCTGCCATTTGCGCTACTGGGAATAACAACTGCAAAGAACTTACATTGATACTCTTTAGTAACTGGGGATAGCTACTAATAGCTACAAGCAAAAACAAAAGCGCTATTCTCTTCCTGTTTTGGTTGCACAATGGCTGACACACTTCCTCTTTGTGGTAAATTAAGCCGTCATTTGTGCGGGAGATCGCACTCAGTTGCAGACAGAATCACATAGTGAAAGAGAAGCTAAGAGGGAATTAATATGAATGGAGATGGTGTCATTATTCTGTAGCCACATTGTGCAATATACATTAACTTCATAATGATAAGTTAAAGCAAAAACATTGTCTGTTTCCACTTCAAATGGCTTTACAGTGAACCATGTAAACATCTTAGTCAAATAGTTTGATTGACAGAGGAAAGGTTACAAGAGAAAATATGATGCTGGCCCTGACACATAAACCTCAGTTGACAAGAAATATTAAGTTTAGCTTGCCACTATTCCCAGTTGGATACTGGACACTGATAATATTCAGGGATTTTGGAGTTGCTCTCCTTTGTTTTTACATAAGTCAGATGACATCTGTATAAGTTTATGTGCAGCCTCTACAAGCTTGCCCGAGTATGCCCAAAAAAGTAGGCTGCTACACACTAGCCAGCCAGGGGGGCGGACTGAGTTAAACCTACACTTAGAACAATTAAATTACCTCATCTCAGAGTTATGCACTGCTCGCATTACACATGCCTTAAAGGTTTTGCCAAATGGCAAGGTCACCAGTCCATTTTTATTCTTTGCAGCTGGCTCGGGGATAAGACGGGGGATGACAGATGAATAGACAATACATGAGGCCTATGTTTTTGTTGCAAATGAAAAAATATGCAGACCAAGAATGTGTCCCAGTGCCCAATAATGGCTCCCTTAATTACAATCTTGAACTTGTAACAATATGCTCAAGCCAGAGTGCAGACAAAAGAGCTACTCACTGCACTCCAACCACAAAGAATGCCATTTTTGGCTATTTATGCCATCTCTGTTTACCTTGAAAATGAATTATACAGGCAACGACTGACTGGATACTGTATTTGGTTCTCCATGCCCCAATTTATGTATGATGAAAAAAAAACAACAGATCAGTGGTTCTAGCTTAAGATATAAACCGATTACTAACTTGTACATGCAGTTACAACGACACATGTCATATGGATTTTGACCTCTCTAAGACACAAGCTGTGTGCAAGTCAACCTAGACTGAACTTAACCACTGCACTTGCTTTCAACGGTGTAGTGAATAAACAAAAAGACATGGGTGTGTCAATAAAAGTTACGAGGCAGCACGCTTTTAAAGGATTATTTCCAGGGGGCACTTTCATTTCTTCTCGTATGCCTCAGGTGACTGACAGTAATTGGAGCCTAATGGATGCATGCACCGAAATGAAGACATTCACTTCAGAGGCACACTGAAATAACAATAGAACAGAAATAAACTCACATTTCTTGTTTAACGTCAAGACTTCAAAGGGTTATTACAGTAACGCACAAAAATGAAAAACATACACTGTAGAGTTTTTCTATGGTCAGACCAAATCGTTTCAGAGCTGCAATACATGTCCATGTTAGTCTGACACAATGGAGTCTAATCGCACACACTGATGCTACAGTTCAAGTTTCTCACACTGATAAGTTGTGAGATTGTTTTTCCCCACTGACTAAGACTAAACTGTCTTTTTGTATTTTCAATCCATCTAAAAGGAAAACAATTGGGAAAAAGGGGGAGCAGATTAAGATAATATAGAAACTATGTCATGAAATATTTCTGTGATAAAACAAACATGCAAAATCGCATAATGTCTCCACTTTAACTTGGAGGGGAGGAAATATTGATGTCAAATAGATAACCCTTTGGCAAGTCTCACAGCAGCACACATTTTTTCTTTTATTGAATATTTTACAGTGTTGGGAGAGTTGTGAGTTGTGTTAATAAATAAATAAACCAGACTTCCTTCTAAGGATGGATAGCAATAATTATGTTACAGTGAATGCGGCAAACAGCTAATCAAAAATTAAGATATGGGTGACTTTGTGAAACTAATAAAGTGGTTTTGAAAATTATTTTTTAATGATATATTGTTTGACAACCATGTATTCAAGGTCATTTACATTAACACATAGTTCACATCAAATCACTGTCATTTGTTTCAGTTTCAGAGCTGAAAGAGTGTACACATCCTAGAAGATGATCCTAGAGTGAATGTAGGCAAATGTGGTCTGTGCAAAAAGACCTGGCACACAGTTATTTATTATATTATTAATACATTACTATAATTATTTATTATTTTATTTTCCAATTAAAGAGATCAAGGTTCAAGTCACTACTGAGGTTTCACATCATGTGCCTCGTTTTGAGCCAAAACCCGCTAAACAGTACAATCCTAATCTGGCAGGCCAAAAGGCAACTTGGCCAGCTGTCCCGTCTCTAACTTACAATCTGATATCGTTAGATCGTTGATGAGCACGTCTGCTACCTTGACCCCAACACGGAGCACACACCCAATTGCTGAGATATAAATAAACAGTCATCATGTGATACAGTGTGACCATATGGCAGGCTCAACTGAGCATTTCAGGGTCACATAGCAGTGCTTTCTGCTAGCTCATGGGCATCCTATACATAGCAGCCAGACAGATGTGAGGACAGGAGGTCCAACAGCAGCCAGGTAAGCATTGCACTGGGTATAAATGCTATTTTTCTGACCATCAAAGTGTGGACTAAGTCTAAAACCACGTGGTAAAACAACAGAGGAAACCCTGCTGTCCTATCAAAATGCACTAATCCATGCATCTTAGTTTAAGGGCAGTGAGCACAACATACAAGGCTTGCTCATGAATAAGCAATAGCACATCAGATGCCAGTGTTGAGTAGCAGATTAACAGACTGTTTCCTCACACATGAAGTTGATACACTTGCTAACAGGAAGGAAATTAACCTGCAGAGAAAGTGCTGCTGCAAGCCAGCACAAGTCCACTCACCCAGCTGCCCACAACAAAAGTTAACGGTCTAGCTCCTAATTGATGTAGCAACACCCTCCTAATAATAACAGTTAGCTGACTCGTGTCCAAAGCGTATTATTAAAATTTGGCACAAGCGGCCCCAATGGCAGCTCCCCCCTTTAATCTGACAGTGAGACTGCCATGCCCTGAGCTTTCAAGTGCCAGTAGCTGCATTCTTTCTGTGTAACCAGAGAATGTGAGGAGGAAAACTCTGGCTCAATTCCACCCATAAACCAAAACAACAGAGGGACTGTCACCCAACAAAACTAAACAAGGAGCACACACTAAACAGCACGCATGTACGCGTCCTTCTCTCGCGATATAAACATGCATCCACACAGTCACACACACCCCTCTGCAGAACCCCACTAAGACTTTAGGACGATAAACCAGTGAACAATGTGGTGACTAGAAACAAGCGATCTCGCGTAGCTGTGGCTAGCTAATACCCAACATAACACCAGCCATCAGCCCACTGAAACACAAATCAAACCACATCGATATGATCTCAAGTATCCCCGTTATAATTAGACGAGCAACCTAGCGTATCATGGTCCTCCACGCATGTGACATGGACTGCTAACCAACCAGCTACTCGCCAATGCAAGAGCCAAATGCAGCTAACTAACTGAGCTAGCTAGGTTGGCTAGCAGCAGAAAAGAAGCTAACTACTGCTAGCTAGCAGCTTAACATGAGCCATCAAGACATTCATATTACTTCCTATTAAACCAGGGCAAACGGGTTAGTGTCTTCATCGTAGCCTTTATTTAGTAAAATCTTACCTTTTGAATATAGAGATTTGGGGGAATTGAGGTCGAGATCCGAGCTAAGGAGGGATATAAAATCAGAGGGCATCGCAGCGCTTCATCGAGGGGAGGGGAAGCGGACACTCTTTAGTAGAAACGAAGTCGGCAGCTCTTGGCCAATAAATATTGCGTTTTACAAGCGGAATGTTTTAATAGACAAAGTAGAACATCGGAACAATGTTAAGGCGACAAAAACAAAACTTTCAATATCAAAAAACCGTTAACTGGCACGTCCCACGTTAGTGTGTGTGTCTTTGCTGAGAGGAGACACATTTCGTGCTACGTTGAGACGAACACACACAAACACACACACACACACTTGCCTACAGTTGGTCGGCCCACCTCCTAGCCCCTCCCCTTTCTACTGCCCAGGGGCATGCGCTGTGGCACCTGGATGAGCATACAGTGAACCATCATAGAGGGAAGTAATGTCATTACACTGTATGGTTTGTGCTCATAGTTGTGGGTCACCTGAATTTAATTTATATAATGTACATCTCGGGTGGATGGACTAAGTGTGGCACAAAGTTAGATTATGTTGTAGACTTGGAAATACACCCTAAATCTTATATGTAGGCCATATTCTGTCCCATCTTCCATAACAGGTATCTTCACGTACTGACCCAAACATTTCCGTAATGTCCTGACATTATATTTGTCCAATGAGGAACTGTGTATAATTTAAGGGACATGTGTTGGCAGAAATTGTATATAATAAGTGGTGCAGCGTCACCTCACAGTAAGAGACTTCCTGGTTTGAATCCAGGGTGCGGACTCGAACCCTGGATGGGGCAGCCCTTCCGCACAGAGTTTGCATGTTTTCCTCGTGTCAGCCCAAGTTTTCTGCAGGTGCTCCAGCTTCCTCCAACAATCCAAAGACATGCAGACTGGGTAAATTGGTGAATCTAAATTGTCCATAGGTGCGAATGTGAGCATGAATGATGTCTGTCTTTGTGTACCCCCATAGCTACATATGGAGGGGGTCCCTTCCGCGTAGTTCGCCATGTTGTTCTACAGTAGCCCAGAATGGACAAATCAAACAATCTGGCTCTGCACAGGACCATTTGCTTTTTCACATTTTTGTGTCTGTTACATGCTTGACACAATGCAATCTCACCGCTAGATGCCACAAAATCCTACACACTGGACCTTTAAAGCTACAGTCGGTAACCTTTATAAAAAAATAACCATGTGTCATAGGCTATTTGCTGAAACTGTCACTATATTCTGACACAAGTACAAGAGACAGTTAGTCTGAGAAAATATCATGCCCCTCCTCCTCGTCCTACTGCTTTTAAGGGCATTCCTGTACCCAAAACAACCAATCGGAGTGGAGAAGTCTCTAATGCAGCTGTCAGTCCTGTCAGTCACAGCTGAACTGTCAAACTGTCAAACTAGGCAACGCTGATCAGATATAAATCAAGATTCTGTTACTGCATTGGTTATTTCTTGCTTCAAATGTTTTCAGACACATATATTAGTGTAGCCTACTGTTTAGCTGTAAAATGAGAAAGTGGGTCCGGCTAGTGGGCAGTGCTTGGTTCTCCAGTTGACTGTATCCAGTATCCAACATGGCGGCTGGGTCACAAGCTTTCTCATTTAACAGCTAAACTGTACACTAAAATGTTTTTTCTGAAAGCATTCAGAGCAAGAAATAACCAATGCAGTAACAGAATCTTGATTCATATTTTTGTACAGCGCTGCCTAGACTACAGTTCACGAGCAGTTATTGACATGATTGACAGCTGCGTGAGATTCCTCGGCTCTGATTGGTTGTTTTCATTCACAAAAAAACAAGCCATTATAAGCGCTACAAAGCGCTAGGCTGAGGAATCTGATTTTTTTTTACAGATTATATGTCTAATTCAGTTCTGTGTGAAAAAAGTGACAGTTTCAGCAAATGTGAAGTCCTTTTTTAAATACCAACCACAGTTTTACATAAGCCTACTTCTGTCTGTATTCCAAGATAAGTATTGTGGGTATCTTCAACATATTGGCCAGCAGTGGAAAAAGTATTCACAGCCTACTCAAATAAAAGCAGCAATAAGAATACAAAATAATGATCAATATCTTACTTTGGTAAAAAAAATAAAAATAAATAAAGCAAATTGAAAGTATCACTAAGTAAAGTCAAAGTACTGATTATGCAGCAGAGTGGCCTTGGTCAGTGTTACATTACAAAATATTTGATTATTATTACTTATTTTAATAGCTGTTGCAGGTGGAGTAGTTCAGTTTATGGCATCAATTTTATTTTATGAGATCATTATATGGTTTGTATGTGACATCATAATCTGAAAAGTAATTAATGATGTAAAGAGTTAATTTTCCTCTGACATATAGCAGAGTAAAAGTATAAAGTAACATAGATTGGAAATAATCCAGAAAAGTACTAGTGCATCAAAACTGTATTTATGTAGGCTACAGCACCTGAGTAAGTATAGTATAGTATGTATAATACTTTACTGTCACACCTTGCCTTGTTAGTTAAGTTACTTTTTGTTTCTCACATTTATCTTTGTTTTATGTTGAAACTCACCTGTTGTCTCATTTCAGGTCCTTCACTTCCTGCCCTCGTGTTTTCCCACCTGACTGGAAGAGCAGAGGCTTGGGCTACTGCAGAGTGGAGTAGGAGGTCCCCGGTTTGTGACTCATTGTCTGCATTCACTAAATCCTTCACCCAGATCTTCCAGCAGACTATCCCCGGACGAGAGGCAGCACGTGCTCTGGTGAGTCTGCGACAAGGTAAAAGGAGAGTTTCTGATTATGCCATAGAATTCCGGATCCTGGCAGCAGAGAGTGATTGGAATCAGTCTGCGCTGTTTGATGCCTTTTTGGATGGTCTTTCTGACACCATTAAAGACTATCTTGCACCCTTTGACCTACCTGTTGACCTGGACTCACTCATTGCCTTGGCCATTAAAGTGGACAAGCGTTTGTGTGAAAGAGAGAAAAGCCGAACCAGCTCTCGCAGTTCCCCACCACTCCACTGGAGGCAGCAGACCAGCAACTCTTCCTCTACTTCATGCCGAGCCATGCCTCACTCGGATTCGTTTGCAGCACCCCCTGAGGCCTTGGAGGTGCCCATGCAACTTGGGCACACTCGTTTGACACCTGAGGAACGCCAGCGAAGAGTCTCTGAGGGCCGATGCATCTACTGTGGCAAGATGGGTCACTTCATAGCATCCTGTCCAGTGAGGCGATCAGGCCCAGTTGTTAAGGTGAGAAGCACATTGACTGCTAGTAATTCCTCCCGGATGTTGCCACTTGTATCTCTTCAGTCTCCTGTGCTTTCTCTTAAGCATCCTGTCCTGGTGGATTCTGGTTCTGATGCCAATCTTATGGACTCTTATCTCGTCAGGAAGCTGGGTCTTAGAACTCTTCCCCTCGACCAACCATTGGATGCCAGTGCTCTGGATGGAAGAATTATCTGTAAGGTCACTCACCGCACTCAGACACTTCTTCTGTCATTCCCAGACTGCCACACAGAGCACATCAGTTTTCACGTCTTTCATTCCCCTCAACATCCACTCATCCTGGGTCACCCCTGGCTCCAGACTCACAATCCTCATATAGACTGGTCTACTGGTCAAATCTTGTCATGGGGGAAAGACTGTTACCAGGACTGTTTTGCTTCAGAATCTCAGCCTGCTGAGGAGTTTCCAGATCTCTCCAAGGTTCCTTCCTGTTACCATGACCTCAAGGAGGTTTTCAGCAAGGCCCGAGCCACCTCTCTGCCCCCTCATCAGTCCTACGACTGCGCCATAGACCTGCTGCCTGGTACTTCACCACCTAGGGGCCGCCTGTACTCTCTGTCAGCTCCTGAAACCCAGGCTATGAGGAAGTATGTAGAGGAATCGTTGGCTGCTGGGATTATTCGTCCTTCCTCCTCTCCGGCTGGTGCAGGGTTTTTCTTTGTGGACAAGAAGGACAAATCCCTGCGGCCCTGCATCGATTACAGAGGACTCAATGACATCACCATTCGTAACAGGTACCCCCTTCCGTTGATCTCTAGTGCTTTTGAACAGTTAAATGGTGCTAAGGTGTTCACTAAACTAGATTTGAGAAACGCTTATCATTTGGTTAGAATACGGAAGGTGGGCGAATGGAAAACTGCCTTTAACACCCCTAGTGGTCATTATGAATACCTGGTTATGCCATTTGGACTCACTAATGCCCCTGCAGTATTTCAAGCTCTTGTCAATGACGTCCTTCGGGACATGCTTAATGTATATGTTTTTGTATATCTGGACGATATTCTGATCTTCTCCCCTGATGAGCAAACACACATTCAGCACGTGCGGCAGGTCCTCCAACGTATCCTCCAACACCAGCTCTTTGTGAAGGCAGAAAAGTGTGAGTTTCACGTGCCCTCTGTGTCCTTCCTGGTGTTCATCGTGTCGGAAGGGGCGGTCCAGATGGATTAGGTTAGTGCTGTAAAGGATTGGCCTACTCCAAGCACCCGCAAGGAGCTGCAGCGTTTCCTTGGATTTGCAAACTTTTACAGGAAGTTTATCAGAAACTTTAGTTCTGTTGCTGCCCCTCTCCATGCACTAACCTCTCCCAAGTCCAGTTTCCAGTGGAACTCCCAAGCTGACCATGCTTTTCAACGGCTCAAGACCTGTTTCACCTCCGCTCCTGTCCTGACACTCCCTGACCCCAACTTGTGGAGGTCGATGCCTCAGATTTAGGTGTGGGAGCAGTGTTCTCCCAGAGGTCAGCTACAGACAACAGGCTGCATCCCTGTGCTTTCCTCTCCCGCAAGCTTTCTCCTGCTGAGAGAAATTATGATGTGGGGAACCGGGAGCTGCTGGCCATTAAGGTGGCTCTAGAAGAATGGAGACACTGGTTGGAGGGAGCCGAACAACCTTTCCTGGTTTGGACCGACCATAAGAACTTGCAGTATCTAAGGACAGCCAAGAGGCTCAACTCTCGGCAGGCAAGGTGGGCTCTCTTTTTCAACCGGTTTCTTTTCACACTGTCATATAGACCTGGCTCCAAGAATACCAAGCCAGATGCTCTCTCCCGTGTATTTTCCCCTGGTAACTCTGCCACTGAACCTTCACCTATTCTGCCTCCTTCATGTGTTGTTGGTGCATTTTCCTGGGATATTGAAAGAAAGGTCTCTGATGCTAACATGAACTGTCAAGTACCGGCCGGCTGCCCGCCGAACCAATTGTTTGTGCCCTCTGATTTACGTTCCCAGGTCATCCATTGGGCTCATGCATCCTCATTCTCCTGCCATCCTGGTGTGCGTAGGACATTGTTTGTCCTGCGTCAACGA